TAACCAATACAAGCTAAATTATCCTCAAATGAGCATCTATTAATTCATTCAACAAACATTTCATCTATCTATCATATATATATCTATTTTTATTTATTTATATATTTGTTTTTGTTTTTTGAGACAGGATTTCTGTGTACCCTTTGGAGCCTGTCCTGGAACTTGCTCTCCAGACCAGACTGTCCTTGAAGTCACACAGATATGCCTGCATCTGCCTGGCTTTTTTTTTTTACATACTAATCCCAGTTCCCTCTTCCTCCCCTCTTCCAACCCCCTTCCCCTTATCCCACCCCCTATCTGCTCCTCATAGAGGGTAAAGCCTCCTATGGGGACTCAATGAATTGTGTCTCATGTACCCATTAGAGGTAAGACCAAGCCACTCACCCCCACCCCTACCCTTGGCTGAGCAAGGTATCTCTTCATAGGAAATGGGTTCCAAAAAGCCAGAACATTCATTAGGGACAGCTTCTGGTGCCACTGCCAGGAGTCCTAAAAAATGCCCAAACCACAACACCTGCATTCATGGGTTCTAGATCGGTCCTATGGAGGTTCCCAGATGTCAGTCTGGAGCCAGTGAGCTTCTTCTAGTTCTGGTCAGCTAGTTTCTGTGGGTTTCCCCATCCTGGTCTTGACCTCATATTATTGCTACTCCCTCTCTCTGACTATATTCCAGGAGTTCTATCCAGTGGGTAGTTGTGAATGTCTGCATCTGCTTCCATCAGTTACTAGATGAAGGTTTCAGGAGATCATGTCTATTTCCACTTCCTAGGTGGATCTCTGGGGGTTGTAGACTTTGGACTGGTTATCCCTTGCTGTATGCCTAATATCCACATATGAGTGAGAACATACCATATTTGTCTTTCTGGGTCAGGTTTTTTTTTAACCACTTCTGTCATTGTTTTTTTTACTGCAGAGTAGTACTTCATTGTGTAAATTTACCACATTTTCTTTACCCTTTCTTCAGTTGAGGGACATTGAGGTTGTTTCCAGGTTCTGGCTATTACAGATAATGCTGCTGTGAATATAGTTGAGCAAGTGTCCTTGTGGTATGAGTGTGCCCCTTTGGATATAGGCCTAAAAGTGATATTGCAGGGTCTTGAGGTAGACTGATTCCCAATTTTCTGAGAAACCACCATGCTGATTTCCACAGTGGCTGTACAAGTTTGAACTCCCACCAGCAATGGAGGAGTGTTCCCCTTTCTCCACATCCTGTCCAGCATAAGCTGTCATTATTCTTTCTGATTCTAGCCATTCTGACAGATGGGAGATGGTTTCTTGGAGTCATTTTCAACAGACATTTCTATTGCAATGCCTTGTTTATGTCAACAAGAAGCAAGATAAGCAAGGACCTAGTCTTCATGGAACTGAATTTTTAGCAGAGACAAAGGATCAGAAAGTTCCCAAGCAAGTTTTCTGCAGATGGGCCAGTATGTGACACAGCAGAACCTAGGTTCAGTCCCTAGTGTTGAGGGCTAGACCAACCCAAGGCTTTCCCTGAGGTCCTTATATATGGAGAAGGAACTTTCATTCTCCTCCAAAGCCAGGAACATGCTTCAGCTCCATATCCTGAGAACCCAACTCTTCCCACCCTTAGGGGCTACTATTAACAGTCCCAAGGCTTCCATGTGCTTGGTATGTAATGTTCTTGAGATACCCATATGTTCCTTTTCTCAAAAAATCTGAAGGCTTACCAGTGTCTATGGAGGAAAACTCAAATTCCATAGCTTGGTGTTCCAAATTCCTCCTGCTCTTTTTCTGACTCTACTTTTCCATCTTTACCTTACTGTATTCCATTCACCTGTACTTATTAGTTTGGGCTCTCTCCAAAGAAGTGGCAGTTTCGACTCAGATGTGCTGATGTTTCAGTTCCTAAGCAGAGATAGAACATTGAGCCTGCCAGGGAACCCTCTGTCCGTACTCTAGAGGTAGAGACAGACACTTGGGATCCAGATGGGCTACTTCAGCTCCTCAAAGAAAGTCAAATCTGTAACAGACTGTGGTGTTGAAAACAGGACACCATTGCAGGTCCTTCACCTGACCACCATGCCCCCAACAGTGGTTCCCCAGCTCCTGCCTCCTGAGCACTTGGTCCCTGATCAGCCCACTCTGGATCATTCACCTTTGTAGTCTCCTCCCATTCCTTTAGCGTGTTAGTGTTTGCTTATAAGTAAAGAAAAACCCAAACTCTCATAGGATGTGGAATTACAGTCAGACTTCTCAGTATCCTAGTACCTTGGCACTCTGCTCTTGCCACCTGGTTTGTAACAGTCTCCTTTGCTACCTCCTTCATTTGATTATACAAATACATATATAGTTAACCAGATAATTACTTTCTTTAATAAATGAAGGAAGAAAAGATGGAAAGAGGGAAGGGGTAAGGAGAAAAGGAAAGGAAGAGAGAAAGGAAATATGTAGGTCAGAACTTCTCCTTCTTGGAAAGTGAACAGCTCTCACCCAGATCTCCCAGAGTCAACTTATATGAACTCAGTAATTCCAGCCCTGCATTACTAGGTGTGTGTGTGTGTTCACTCTTATGTGTGCTCATATTGTTCTTTCTGCTGGAAAGAACCATTCTGGAACAAGATCCAGAATGAATTCTTCATTTTCTCCTCCTCAGTACCTAGATCCTGGGTCATAACCCAATATGTACAGAAAAGATGTCAACTGAGTGACAAAATGGGCCTCTAAAACTCAGAAGGCCTGAGTTTGATCACTCATGGACTCATTGCATGGAACGAGAGGATCAGTTCATACAAGTTTTCCTATGATCTCCACACCTACACATATACACACAAAAATATAAATTAATTATTTTAAAAACCCTGAAGGCAAAGGTGTGAGATGCAGTTTATATATTATTATTGCCTTTAATTATACATTGATAGCGGCATTCTAAAAGGATTCCTTTGAATGATAATTTAGAGTTAAAATGTGATAATTATTTAAGATTAGTCATATTACCAAAACCTTTGTGTCTTGATTGTTTGGACCAAATGCCATAATGGTCACTGTGTGATGTGGAGTAGTGAGTTCCACTTCTCCTCCTGTCACCTGATGTGAGATCATTTAACATTAGGCTGTGCCTTAAAATAAGTATTTAAATATTTACTATGAAATAAGTGGAAAAATACCTCAAAATGGTTCATAATAAAGACCTGGCCACAGCAGTTGGCAGGTCCTTATTCAAATTCTACAAGTAATTTTAAGTTTCATAAAGAATACTGAGTGGATTTGATTACTATCTGCCTAACTTGGTTCTTATTTTTAGACACTGATTAGTTTCAATGTTTTATGTAATTTTCCAATTTGTAAATCTTAAATGGGGCTTGTCATTAAATTTAGACTTATTATTTACAATTGATTCTTTCATCAAATTTATATTTATTCCTTATATTGATTCCAGAGGTAGAATAATGTGAAAAAGAAATTGTATAACTGTGGATACACAGTTAAATATCTTTCCGAAAGTCAAAGCCAGGCTAGATATAACGGATCATGCCTGAAGGTCAGTCAGCCTGGATTATGCAACACTGGTCTGTCTCAGAAAAACTAGGGAAAAAATAATAAAAGGCAAAACCAGTTTATGTCTCTAATGATAATATAAGAATTTTAAAGTACTAATATCCCTATGGTTCTCACTAGGCCTGGATGGCCTAGAAGTGGATATGTAAACCAAATTAGACTTGAACTCACAGAGATCTGCCAACTTCTACCTCCCGAGTGCTAGGGTGTGTGTGTGTGTGTGTGTGTGTGTGTGCGTCTTCTAGGAACATTTCACACAGCCACAGCCACAGCCCTGTCACTGGAACTCGCTCTGTAGTTCAGGCTGGCCTTGAACTCACAGAGATCTGCCTGCCTCTACCTCCTGAGTGCTGGAACTAAAGCCGTGCGCCACCACTACCTGGTTTACACAGCTTTTTAGCATTGGCGTAAAGCTCCTACCCAATTCTTGTATTTCTGTTATTGTTGTACAATATTAATTTAAGGTGTGTTACTTTTGTTAATGCTCTGGATCACTTGTTTAATGATGCAAAGATGTATTTGAATACGTAAAATTTACCTGTGGTCAGGAAGCTGGGTCAGTAACCAGGTGACAGGAAGTTGTAGGGAGGAGCCAGGTGGAGAAGGAAGGGCGAGAATGAGCACGAGGACTTCTTGAGAGACTCAAGCAGGTGAGCTAGATGAGCTGCTTTCTTTTTAGCCTCTCTGGGAAGCAGGGTTCTGCCTCAGCCTTTAAATCTTGAGTTCTTTAGAGGGGACAGAGTTTTAAATAAGTTTCCTTAGTAGCTTTCAAGGAGTCGGTGCCTGAGGGAACAGAATTCCCACAGGCTTTGTCTCTTGCTGCATAGCCACTGCTGTTAGCGGCAGAGTGGCAGTTGCTGAATAGGATAGCTATAGCTTAAAAGGGCAATACAATTAAAAAAGAAAAACAACAAATTGGTGTTCCAATGGGTGGTAGAACCACACAGAAGGAAGGGCCACTCAGCTGGCTCTGCTGCATTTGCCGTCTGGAGCTCTCAACCACTGACTCTGTAGAATCTGCCATCTGAACTTAACCACGCTAGCAGTCGGCTGCCCTTTGCCTGGAGAAGTCAACAGAATTGGTAAGAGACTTGGGAACTTCTTTAGGAGAGCAAAACAGGACAAGGAGAGGAAGACTTCAGGGGCCAGCCAGAGTAAGAGTGAAAGTAAAGTAAGATTTACAGAAGAAAAAGATAAAAGCCCAGAGGAAAAAGGTAGATGGGATAATTTAAGAAAAGCCAGCTAAGGTCAAGTATTCATAACTAAGAATAAGCCTCTGTGTGAGATTTATTTGGGAACTGGGTGGTGGTCACCCCAAAAAGCCAGAAGAGTAAAACATTGCATCAACATGTTATTTATTTTTGAGTCACCTACCCTGTCAACAAAGCTTTCCTAATCAGTTATTCTGCTTACCATTTTTTTTCCTCAGACAGGGTTTCTCTGTAGGTTTGGAGACTGTCCTGGAACTCTCTTTGAAGACCAGGATGGCCTTGAACTCACAGAGATCTGCCTGCCGCTGGCTCAGTGCTGGGGTTAAAGGATGTGCATGGGCCACCACTGCCCGGCTCTGCTTACCAATTTTAAAATGTCCCTTAAAATACTCCAGAACTTTTGCTACCACATAGTCAATGACATTTCAGCTCTCAGCACTTTCTTCAGAAGGACTCTGGAGTGAGTAGTTAGAGGAAGGCAGAATGCTTGAGTCTACCATAATTTCATCCTGTTTGGAAGATTTTCCTCCATGAATGCTTGGGACTGCCTGAAGAAGAAGAACAATTATAGAGTAAAAAGTTTTCCGTATTCTAGCATGCATTCAAAATCAATAACAAAAATAGATCAGTGGGGAAGGGTGCTTGCTGCTGAGCTTCACACTCTTGAGTTAGGTCCCTAGGATCCACCTGATGGAAGAAAAGAACCTACTCCAGCAAGTTGTCCTTCCAATTTCCATGCACATAAGGGCACCACTTAACTCCAAGAGGAATCGGAAAACCCAGGTGAGCTGATGAAATGTTTAATGAATACTATTGTTTGCTCTACAGACATTAATTTAGATTGCCAAATTTTATAGTTTGCCTGGGAAATTTACAGTTTTTTAAAATTTTATGTGTGATACTCTCTCTCTCTTTGGTTTTTGGTCTGGTTTGATTTAGTTTTTAGAAAGGGTCTCATTACATATTTAGGGTGACTTCAAACTCACAGTCCCACCTGATCTCTTGAGTGCCACAGTTACAGGCATGTGCTACTGCACCTAGCTTAGTTACTCTATTAATAAATTCCCAAGTTCATATAATGTACTTTTGAAATCATTTTAATGGAACTAAACTTTAAATTCAATTTTATATAACCATAACTATTTAAAGAATGTTTTCCAATAAACTCTATCAGAAACAAAGGAAATATTAAAACAACCAATTTAATAGTTCTGGTTTTTGTTTGTTGTTGTTTGAAACACGGTCTCATAAGTTGAGACTGGCCTTGGGCTTGATATATAGCTGAGGAATACAAACCAGGTGTGGTAGCATATACCTGTACTCCCAGCATTTTGGGAAGTGGAAGCAGGAGGACAGGGAGTTCAAGGTCATCCTTGAATAACTTGTCCACTTACTTGCCTTTTAGTAAATATAATGTATATATAGGAAACACCATAAAATATTTGTGCCTAGTCTAATGCATAATTGTATAGTGAACTATACATAAGGGGCCATTGCTTTTTTATTTTTTAGAATTTATGAAGTACACAAAGATTTCTTTTCAATACTTGCAGATCTACGATTTACCCTTTGCCTTCCATGATAAAATAACAGCTGCTTTGAGAAGAATGACTTTTTTTCCTGCAGATCTGCAGATCAGTTTATTAAGATGGAATTGCTGCTAATTACATGGAAGACAAACTAGTTGCCATAATCATTGAGGTTCTCCAGAACTTACGATACACATTAGAAATTAATGGTTCAAAACCACAAGGAACTTTTCCTGATGCTCTGTGACAAGGCTTAGGTAGATGAATCTGTGCAGCTACTTCAGCCTATTAAAGAGTTTGTGGGCCACACAGTGGTCAAATGCATGCAAGATGTCAAAGAGCTCCTCTGTTCAATCCTTTTCTGTCTGTGATCAGGAAGATACACACTTATCACAAAGCTCTAGCTGCTCCTGGGCCTTTACACACTTCTCCAACTGCTCACATTGCTCTCTCACTGTTGTTAAGGGGTCCACTGATTCTTCCTCCTCTTCTTCCTCTTTGGTTTCTCCTGATTTGGTAAGCATCTTTCGTTCATTTTCTAGTCCCATGTCATGGAGCTGTTCAGGACTCAACACCAGGAGAAACAATCTTACCTACTCCCCTTCATGATCAAGAAGGACTTGTAAGGGTGACTTGACCAAGAAGAATGGCTTTTACAGGCGATTCTTGAGCAGAGTGGCTGAGTCCACTGATTTTGGAGAAACCCACTCTATTTCCTGTCTGTCTGTCTTTGTGTCTCTCTCTCTCTCTCTCTCTCTCTCTCTCTCTCTCTCTCTCTCTCTCTCTCTCTCTCTCTCTCCCTCTCTCTGCCTCTCTCTCCCTCTCTTCTTGGTTTGTTTTTGGAGATAGGATTTCTCTGTGTAACAGCCCTAGCTGCCTTGGAACTTGCTCTGTAGACCATGGTGGCCTTGAACTCACAGAGATCCACCTGCCTCTGCCTCCCGAGTGCTTGGATTAAAGGTATGAACCACCACTTGCCCAGCATCATGCTTATTTCTAATGCAGACTCTGTGTGAATTATACAAACTGTCTTCTGTGCCTCATCTGAAAACTGGGGAATATAGTACTATTACCTTCTGTGTTTTGGATATGTATTTTTATCTTTCAAAACTCATGCTGGAATTTTATTCTCAATGTAATGTTACTGAGAGATGTTGGAGCCTTTAGGAGGTGATGTGATCTCATTGCAGTGAGTTACATCTAGAAGCACTTTGTCAGTCACTACAAGTACAGGCTGTAGGTTGTTATGAGGCAAATCTGGCACCTCCCTTAATTCCACTCGTCTCTCTCAGTCTCTCTCTACTTCCATACTACTGACTTTTCCCTCCAGAAGCTAAGATGCTGATCTTGGACTTTCTACTACTCAGAATTGTAAGGTAAATGACCCTTATTTCTTTGAAAATTGCTTAGTCTTCTATTTCCTCCTTCTCTTACCTTTGATCCCATCTGCCTCATGACCTGTGGTACTAGGGATGGAGCCCAGATCTTCATGCATGGGGATGGAGTGAGAGAGACAGAGTCTTGTTACATAGCTCTAGCTAGCCTGGTACTTGAGACACCATGATCAGGGCAGCTTACAGAAGAGTTTATTTGAGGTTTGCAATTTCAGAGGGTTAGAGTCCATGACCATCATGGTGGAGAGTGTTACAACAGGTGGCATGTTGCTGGAATAGTAGTTAAGACTTTATATCTTGGTCCACAAACAGGAGGAAGGGAGAAACCTAACTGGGAATTACATGGGCTTCTTAAACCTCAAAGTCCACTCTCTAATTACATAACCTTCTCCAACAAGTCCATACCTCCTAATTCTTCCCAAACAATTCTACAGCTGAGGACCAAGCATTCAAATATATGAGTCTGTGGGCAAACCATCACAAATAGACTGTAATCTGCAATAAAAAATAAACCCTTTTCCTCCCTTAAATTGGTTTTGGCCAGGGTGTTTTTTTTTTTTTTTTTTTTTTTTTTTTTGGTTTTTCAAGACAGGGTTTCTCTGTATTGTTTTGGAGCCTGTCCTGGTAGGCTCAGTAGACCAGGCTGGTCTCGAACTCACAGAGATCCGCCTGCCTCTGCCTCCCGAGTGCTGGGATTAAAGGCGTGTGCCACCAACGCCCGGCTTGGCCAGGGTGTTTTATCACAGCTATATATGGCAAAAATTTGTACTGAAAATGGGAGTATTGATTGGATGACTTGATAATGTAGTTTTTAAAATATATCTTTGGACCATTTTGTTGTAGTATTGTGGAAGATTTTGGAATTTTGGGTTAGAAAAGTTGTTGAATGCTCAGAAATTAATGGGCTGTTCTAGGAGGAGCTCAGAATACAGTAGTGCTGAGAGATATATTGCCTGTGAATGCCTGTCTTTGAGAAGTTTCAGATGTAAGTGAAGACTCTATCAAGACCTGGAATAGTGTCTATTAATGTAATGTTTTGGCTAAGAACATGTGCGTGCTAATCTACTGTGACTAAAGAGTTAGCTTTGATTAACAAGAGATCAATGCCATTGGCACCATATGGAAGGGTTAGAGCCTCTGTGAAAAGGCCAAAAGAGGTCACTGATAAAGGCTCAGCCTTAATTACAATGTAAACCCCTGGGTTATTTGAGATTCCAGGACAATAAAGTATTTGCCAAGGACATGAGATATTAGCCAAGTGTGTGTGGAGTGGAGTCCACCTAAGGCTACAATATGAATTGTGTATGCTGAGTCAGAAGAGTGAATCTCAGATGCTGGACTTTGAGCTACAGGATTTGGACTTATGCTGCTGGACCTGATTTTTCCTATTTCTTTGTTCTTCCCTTTTGGAATAAGAAAGCATGCAACGTTTAAAAATCAAGCCCACAGTTTAGAAACTTTAGAATTTTGAAAGGACATAGAGTTTTTAAAGACTGCACAGCTTTTAAAAGTTAGGATGTATCTTATACTATGATATTAAAATGAGGTCTTGGGTACAAGAAAGGAAAGGTTATCTAAACATTACTTTTTACTTCTATCAGAAATTTTCCCTTATGAGTGTATTTTCCTTTTCCTTGCAGCAAAAGGAAGTTGATCTAATTTGCTTATTGTTTTTCTCTTATGTATGTTTTTGTGTTTCTTTAGTCTTTAATCATACATACAAAACAAATCCACAGTGATGGATTTGATGAAAACCTCTATAAGTAACTCCTTTAGATAGAACCAAAAGTGCAAAAGCAGGCAAGCATGAAGGTCTGAGTCAAATGTCAAGAACCCAATTTTAAAAATAGAGACATGGTGGTATGCTTATAATTCCCATATTGGAGAAGATACAACAGGTATATACCTGCAGCTCACTAGCTAGTCTGAAAAGACTACTTGGTGTGTTCCAGATTATTGAGAAACCTTGTCTCAAACAAAATGAACCAGTGGATAGAACCTAATGTCCTCTGATCTCTGCATGCACAGACTTATATGTGCACATGTACATGAACACAGCAATGTACACACATGAAAGACATGATAAAACAATACTCATTTACCTTCAGATAGGTAATTGTGACATTTTTAGCATCTTTTGTGAAAGTTGAAACATCCAGATAAATTCTGGCCAAATTCCTCAAACATTCCTCCATTTTGCTTTGGTAACATCTCAGAATTCAGGTCTCTTTGGTCCAGCTCTGTAGGAAATACATTCACACATCAACACTATTGGAATTCCACCATATAAGGCTGGGGAGATGCTTAAGTCAGTAAAGCATTTGCCACACAAGCAGGAGGACCAAAGTGTGTTCCCTAGAACCCTTGATAAAAGCCAAGTATGGTAGCATGTGCCAGTGCTGGGGAAGTGGAGATGGGTGGATCACTGGCCTTATTGTCCCAGCTAGCTCAGCCTTCTTGATGAGTTCCAGGACAATGAGAAGGCTAATTCAAGCACTTGGGAGGTGGAGGCAGAGGCAGGCAGTCCTTGAATTGGAGGTCTGTCAGGGCTACATAGTGTGAGCCTATCTCAAACAAACAAAAAACATAACAAGAAAAACTAAAAGTTAGAAAACTAATAAAAGCAAGTAAGTGACTACTGATGAACAATACCCAAAGATACTCACACATACATGTATACATACCTGTGTGGACATAAAATAAATTAATTCGTTAAATGAATTAATCAACAATAAAAACTGTAAAAACCTTAGAAACTAGGTAGCTATATCTGTAATTCAATCACTTGGGAGGTAGAGGCAAAGGATCTAGAGTTCTAGGCCAGCTGAGGTGTTGATGATATAGTAGTCAGAAACATAGTAGGACACAAAATTAACACAGAAAAATCAATAGTCTTTGTACATATCAACAAGCATACCCAAGAAAGAAGTCAAGGAAGCAATCCCACTCCAGAGCCTTAAAATTGACCCACAACATAACTTTAAAAATCTATCAATCTTGCTATAAATTTCATCAAAGAAGTAAAAGCTTTACAATGAAAACCTTAAGATACTTAAAGAAAGAAAAGAAATACCAGTAGATGGCAAGACCTCCCATAATCATAGATAGGTATGAAATGTTTTGCAGAGAAGTCTAGTGTGCATTTTGTTTAGCTTCTAGAGGCAACCTGCTCCTGGGCACAAGGCACCCTTCCATCTTCAACATCAGCATTGTTGGACAACAGGCTTCGTATGATGCTTTTCTGTTCTTCCTGCCTCTTCAGTCTGATTCTGAGAATGTCAAGGTTTTTTTGTGTGTTTTTGGAGTCAAATTAAGGCGTTGTGTGTGTTAGGCAAGCACTCTAACACTGAGCTACATTCTTAGTCCCTTTTACTTTAAGGACCCGGTGACTACAGTGAACCCCTCCACAATCCAGAATACTCTCCATGTTTTGAAGTCAGCATGTTCACAGCATTAGTTTTGTTTGTGCCCTTACTCTCCTTTCCCCTGGAGATCACAGGTTCTAGGAATAGAGGGGATAGATAATTTTAGGTAATTGTTGATTCTGCCCACCACCGGGAGCAGAGCTCAAGATTTTTCCACACAGCTGGGTGGTGGTGGTGTACACCTTTAATCCCAGTATTTGGGAGACAAAGGCAGAAGGATTTATGAATTCAAGGTCAGCCTGCTCTACAGAGTGAGTTCCATGATAGCCAGGGCTACACAGAGAAACCCTGTCTCAACAAAACAAAACCCCCCCCAAAAAAACAACTTTTTTTCCCACACCGTGCAGATTTTCTACCGATGGTTTGCCTATTCCTTATTAACCACCTGTACAGAAAAATGATGGAAGCCACATTAAATGCCTGTGGTCTCTGTCTGACTGATCAGTAGTTCACCTTTGTCCATCTGGGAAATTATCATTTCTCTTTTTTTTTTTATTTGCTGTATGCTATCTAGAGTAGGGTTGTTGGTAATAGTATAATAGGCCTTTATCTTATGTGTGTAGCTATTGTTTTAAGTAGGTTTGTTTGTTGGTTTCTTAAGGACTGAAGTGAGCAGGGTCTTACACATGCTAACTAGATACGTGTTCTGTCACTGAGATACATTCCAAAGCTGTGTTCTATTTAATTAATTTTTTTTGAGACTGGCCAGCTGTGTAGCCACAGCTGGCTTGAAACTCACTATGTAGATCATGCTAGCCTGAACTCAAAGAAATCTGCTTGCCTTTCCCTACTGAGTGCTGTAGAGAGGGAGGAGTCAAGACAATGCTGGGGAAACCTACAGAAATAGCTGACCTAAGCAATTGGTAGCTGACAGACCCCACTCTGATAGCTGTGGAACCAGCATAAGACAGAACCAGGTCCTCTGACGTGGATGTCAGTTAGGGGACCTGGGCAGTCTAAGGAGCCTCTGAAAGTGGAACCAGTATTTATCCGTAATGTACGAATGGGCTTTGGGAGCCCATTCCCTATGGAGGGATACTCTCTCAGCCTAGATACACAGGGGAGGGTCGAGGTCCTGCCTCAAATGATGTAACAGACTTTGATGATCCCAGTAGAGTTGAACAGATCTCTGACTTCTAAACCAGCCTAACTTACAAAGCATGTTCCAAGACAGCCAGGATCCACAGAAAAACTGTATTTTGAGGTATGGGGAGCAAGAAAAAATGGTTGACAAACGTAGTGGGAGAAAGAAAAATGGTCTTGAGAGACGCTTTAATCAGTAAAGTGCCTAACATGCAAGTATAAGGACCTGAGTTTAATCCCCAGTGTCCCATAAGAAGCAGGGCATGGTGGCATTTGCTTATAATATCAGTGCTGGGGAGGCAGAGATATGATGATCCCTGAGATTTGCTGGTCAGCCAGTCTAGCCAAATCAGTAAGGCCTGGTTCTCAGTGAGAGATAGACACCTCCTAAGGAATAACATTTAAGGTTGACCTGTCTTCTGAATGTCTGTGCACCTACACATAGGCCCGCATACCTACCACCAGCAAATATATGAACATATAGGCACACCAGCACATACCACAAAAAAAGCAAAAAAACAAAAACAAAACAAAACCAAAAAAAAAAAAACAAAACAAGAGAGAAGAGAAGAAAGGAAAAGGAGGGGAGTCTTTTGTAACTGACCTTTGTGTGATTCCCATGAATCCTCAATTGTGTTCAGTGTCTTCATAATTGTTTCTCGGACTCTCCCATAAATAGAGAGACTGAAATTATGAAACAGCTGGAAGACATTGGGAATGTCCCACCTTTGCCCAAGTCCTTCTATTTTGGTTTGTTCTTTGGATAAAACTGAGGGAAAGAATGGCTCCATTAAGTCTATATTGGACATGAAGTACGATCGAAAAGCCTGGTCAAACTCTTGCTGCATCTGTTTGAAAATGTAAAAGCTTATGTTGAAGAGAGATTTCACATCCACAGCCAGCTGGCTGAACAGGTTCTCCATTTGCATTACTTGTAAATCTTCCTCTGTCAGCTGTTTGCCTGCAGGGGGATCCTCTACTTCTTTACTGAGGGGAAACAGAAATTGGTACATCTTCCTGAGAAATTGCTCCATCTGTGGGGTAGAGTGGATCATGGAATGAAAATTAATATATTTTCCTGTTCCACTTCTTACTACAAAATTTAAAGTCACCTAATACTAGTCATTTCAAATTTAGTTCTGTCCAATCTTGGAAAAGGTGGTTGAGTTTGAGATATATTACCATTCTTATAGCTTGTTTTAACTTCAACTGTGAAAATAGGACCTGGAATTCCTCCTGACATAAATTTGCCCATTGAGTGCTAAAAAGGTAACAATGTAGTAGACAAGCTATAACCTGATACTCTGGAAGCAGCTGGCAGGTCATTGACCACAGGCTACTGTGAAATTTGCCTTGGAACTATAAAGAACACTGTTAACTTTTAGCTCCTAGTTTTTATTATTGTTGTTTATGATTGTTTAGTAGAATGCTACTGTCATTATACTCTTATTTCTTGATATCACTAATCCATGGAAAGAAAAAGATGAACACTTCTTCACTGAGCCCTATATGCCAGATATAGCTTAGGAATGGCTGTATATTACGTTGTTTAGTCACAGTTGTAAATTAACAGTGATAATACCCAGCTTTTTGTAGTCAAAGGAAAGAATGAAACCCTAATCACAGAAATTTGAGTAACATTCAGTAGAAGAAGACTGTCCAGTAGTCACATTGTGTGACTTCTAAGTCTGTGCAGACCACAGTTGTCTTTACATTACAATGCTCGAATGTGTTGAGTGTCACCAGTTAGGAAATATTACTTCTGGAGCATTAGCTTCCTGCATTCAAACAATTATCCAGGAATCTTTATAGGACCTATGCCATTTTCAGAAAGAAATCTGGATGGATTGCCTGACTCTCCTCTGCCAGCTTTTGCTTACTGATCCCATGCATAGAAACAAAGCTTGAAAATTAAACAAGGTGACACGTGTCTATTCTAGCTCCTCCAGGGTCTGAGGGAGAAGGGGCAGTACTAAAGCCAAGGAGTTGAGATAACCCTGTGTAACATAGCCAGACCCAGTCTCAGAAAACACCTACATAAAGCAAGCCACAAGAAAAGTTCATAAAGTTACATGTCTGGCCCAAATGAGAATGAACTCTAAATCTCCTGTCTCCAGCAGTCATCTCATTATATTCTGGCATATCAGCGAATGACTGTATCTGTAAAAGTGGAACAGATGTGATCACCAGTGTCATTAAATTAGCTTGGCATTAGCCGGGTGGTGGTGGTGCACGCCTTTAATCCCAGCACTCGGGAGACAGAGGCAGGCGGATCTCTGTGAGTTCGAGGCCGGGCTGGACCGACAGCCTCCAAAACAATACAGAGAAACCCTGTCTCATAAAAACCAAAAAAAAAAAAAAAAAAAATTAGCTTGGCATATTCCTTATCCTAGTGGCTGCTCTTTTGAAATTGAGTGTGGCACTGCCAGGTCAGAAGTAAACCAGAAGTAAACTATAATTACTACATATACTGACAAAGAGTAAAATTCCATTCCATTTCATACATGGCTCATTTCTTGAATTGGGAAGGAAAATCCAGGCCAATCAAAGACTTTACTGGGCCAGAGCTATGTAGGTCACAGCTCTCTGTGAATTCCTCTGCCTAGAAGATAACCAAAAGGCATAAAAAGAAAACTTGCCAGTTTTGCAGGCCACACATGGATAGGGCAAGAAGAGCCCTGAAGGTATTCATTCACATTTGTACACAAATACGTTAATAGGAAAAACACATTAAAATAAAGATGTATGATGTTGCACATCTGTAATCCTAACATTTGAGAGACTAAGGTCGGAGTATCATGGACTCAAGTTCAATCTAGGATACATCTCCAGAGGAGAATTTGTAGCATAAATCAAGGGAGAGACGGAGGGATCGATGAACCTAAGTGTTATGGTGTACATCTGTAACCTAGCACTTTGTGTTTGAAATTATGAGGATCAAGAGTTAAGGGTCATATACAAATACATGCTGAATTTGAGGACAGCCTGGGCTACATGTAGACTTGAAAGAGGGATGTGGAGGAAGGTAAGGAGAAAGAGCGTTAAAAATACATGATTTCTAGGATTAAATATTAACGAAGATTGAAATCAAAGACTGTAAAATAAACTTGAAAATGCAGGTATACATGTTTATTGGATGCCTTCTCAAAGGAAGACATACACATTAGATATGACCCTTGCCATCAAAGGCTTTACTATCTACTTGGAACATGTCAACAAACAGTGAATACAATGCAAAGTCCGGTTTCTTCTAAAGGAGTTACAGAGTGTAATTCTAAGGGGACTAAACACTGATGGTTACTCTAACTATAAATTGTGCACACACAGGTTATGATAAAAGGACACAAAAGGACAGCAGCAATCATTTCCATTTTAAAAATTAACAATTTAAAAATCAAGATGGCCTGGATGTCCTAAGAACTCTGAAAGGGTGAGCTCTCATTTCCTCTTACCCTATTTTTCACAGAGGACCAAAAAGGTTGGCAAGCTGTGTAAAATCTCATGCAGTTACTTTCCAGACATGGCCTGCATCCATCCCAGGAATCCACAGAAGATGCCTGACATAACTTTTCTTCTTCCTCCAAATGTTCTTGCACTTCATTCATGAGTTTCAGGGCCTCCTGGTTAAAGTGTACAAGCACAGGTCTCATTTCCATTTCCTGAGTCTATGTATACCTTAGCTGGTTTCCCCTTTTTAAGTGTATATTGGATCCAGGGGCTACCAAACTAGCTCAGATAAAGTGCTTGTGTTATATTTACAGTGCCATGGTTTCAGTCCCTAGTACTTCCTAAACAGATACAGTGGCACATAACTGTAATCTCAGCTCTTAGAAGGTAGAAGGAGGAGTCAAAAATTAAAGTTATCTTTGACTTCTTAGTAAGTTCAAGTCCATCCTTTGATACATGAGATCTGGTATCAACAGAAATTAAGTATAAGACATTCTAAATGGCTTCAGTCTTTTCATCTTCATGGTCCTTGCTGCTGCTGTATCTGCCACAGTGGTTTCTGTTTGGTAAACAGTATTCTGAATGAGCCTTTGTTGAAGGACATGAAAAATCTCACTGTCTGTTCACTTGTTCACTAAGTATTTACTCAATATTTACTGTATGATGGACATTGCATTAAATGTGACAGAGTTAATGGCAAAGTCAGTATCCCTATGGGGAACCATGGTGATTACCTTTTGACTTTTCTATTTGAATTGCTAGCCTAGGAGGTATATGGAAGGCGGGCTTTAGGGCTTTGAAAACTGATATTTTGATTTTTTAAGCTTCCTTAATTCATTGTATGTGCTTAGATATTGCAAGAAAGCACAATTCTTGCATATGAACATTGATTTATGGTGAGTGGCTACTTTCTTGTCTGTATTCCAAATGCGCCCTCTTGTGGTCCTTGCTGTACTTAGCAACAGCCTTTTACTGTTGGTAAGGAGTCAGCAGGGATGACAACTGTCTTAGTTCTGTCCTGGATATCTCCACAGCTCTACAGGATAAAAACAAACAAACAAACAAACAAATCAACAAGTAATTTGTTTGCCCTGGTATCACGGCACACAAGAACTTGTTTGCCTGAGATGGAGTTCAAGAGAATGAGGCTATACCAGGCCGCAGAATCAAGGCAGCTCTCAAGTGAAAAACAGGTGGGAGAAGTTTTTGTTCTAAAACCATTTTACTATAGATCTTTGTTTGTTTTCTGAAACTCATGGTGTCAATATGTAGTCCATGCTGGCCCTGATCCTCCTGCCTCAGCCTCCTACGAGCTGGCATTATGTATATTATCACAGATCGTGTGTGTGTGTGTGTGTGTGTGTGTGTGTGTGTGTGTGTGGTGTATGCAAGTTTCTGTGTTTCTGTGTGTGCATATGTATGTATGGAGGCTAGAGGTTAAAGCTGGTAGTCTTCCTCTATTGGTCTTTTGATACAGGGCTTGTTCACTTATCTCACAGAGCTCTGCCTGACTCTTTCTCCTGAGTGCTTGGAGTATAGGAGTGTACCACCACTGCCCAAATTTAAGATTTTCATCCTTTTTGTCAAGTTAGCTTTTTGAGTACCCAAATTTTGAGTCTGATGCAATGAATCTTTATGCAATAAAATTTTAGGAATAACATTTCTACTATTTCTGGGATTTTTCAGAAGACTATCCCTGAAACCCACTTTTGCTTCTTTGGTCCTATAGTGGCTATTCTTTTCCTCATATTGCAGCCTTAGCTTGTAGGTTGCTTAAGAAAATAAGAACATGCTGGGCGTTAGTGATGTACACCTTTAATCCCAGCACTTGGGAGGCAGAGGCAGGCGAATCTCTGTGAGTTCAAGACCAGCCTGGTCTACCAAGTGAGTTCCAGTTCCAGGACAGGCTCCAAAACAATACAGAGAAACCCCGTCTCAAAAACAAACAAACAAACAAACAAACAAAAAAAAGAAAATAAGAACAACAGTAAGTCATCAGGTCCCACATGCTCATGTCTGTTTGATTTACCGCAGGTTCATTCATGCTAATGTTGGAGCAACATGTTAATTAACAGCTTCAAGCATCAACTTTCTTAGCTACAAAAATCAAAGTGTGGTTGACCTTGACAAAGCTCGAGAATGATAAGATTCTAGAAACTGTATTGAATTAATTTGCTCGAAGTTTATAAGAACATAGGTAAAGATACAGTTGTGCATTGGAACTCCACTGGTATTTTTTCTTAATTATGCATGTGTATGTGTGTTATTTGTACACATGATTTTGTATGGAGTCCATTAGTCTATGTTGGCGGTCTTCCTCTAGTGTTACGTTTTCAGTCACATGCGACTATGCTTTTATGTTGGTGCTCTAAACTCAGATCTTTACGTTTGTGCAACAGGCACTTTAACAACTGTGCTATCTCTCCATCCCCCATTTTTACTGTTTAGTTAATAAAAAACAGTAAAAAAAATTTAGACAGGAAAAGTAAGATGGCCAGTTTCATGTAAACATATTTTACCAGAATTATGACATTTCTTTAAAAGCAAAAAGTAGCATTAACATTTAAAGTATTTTCTGAAGTTCTTGTGTTATCTATCTGTCTGTCTGTCTGTCTGTCTGTCTGTCTGTCTGTCTGTCTGTCTGTCTATCTATCTATCTATCTATCTATCTATCTATCTATCTATCTATCTATCTATCTATGCTTTGAGACAGGATCCCACTTCTGTAGTCCAGACTGACCTGGAACTTCATATGCAGTTGGTCGTGGAATTCTGGCAATCCTCCTGCCTCAGACTCTGAATACTAACATTACATAAGCTAGTAGGCATAAGACACCTACCCAGATTTCCCAAATTATTCTGTTACAGTTCTTATTTATTTCTGCTTTGATTAAAGTTAGTATTCAAATATAAACAGCTAGAAAATATTTGTTTTGAGTGCTGTATTGCTTATACTATTAGACTATGAAGTATATAGTGTCTACTATAGTCAATATTTGTTGAGCTTTATACAATATCTCAGGAATACTTTCTCACATCTTCCAAATACATTTGAATGAAACATTTATTATCTGTCAGAAAAATACATATTTGTACTATAACCAATTGATTGCAGAATGTGGCTCAGTGGTAGAGCCCAGCATGTATTCCATCTCCAGCACCTCAAAAACTAAAAATAGAAAAATAAATGAGGCTAGCACGGAGCTCAGTAGTAGAGGACCCTGTTAAAACCACTGACAATGCTAACAATAATTGGGAAAAAATGGGCCAGGCCAGTGTGCTATTTAATATACTCTGGTGTGTGTTGGAATGCTGTCAGACATTCCACCTGCCAACTGTGTTAGGACCTGAGGAGAAGGGGTCTCTTCATTTTATTGGCACTTGCCAGGGCTCTTCTAGTTTTCTGTTTACTTGCCTTTCAATTGTAATAATGAGATACCTTCTCAGAGGACTCAAGTGGACCAATGAATTTTTATATGTTTGCGACTAATCTAACAACATTTTAAAAAATTCATTTATTTGTGTGTGCATGTGCATGTACATTTGTGTGTGCATGTGGTACAGGTTGCCATGTGTGCATGTGGAGGTTAGAAGACAGCTTGTGGAAATCCATTCTCTCTCTCCATTGGGTGGGTTCCAAGGATTGAACTCAGGTCATCAGGCTTAGTGGCAAGTGCTTTTACCCACTGAGTCATTTTGCTGACCTGCAAAACCATAAATCTTAAAAAAAGGAAAGGCTAGGGTGCTTTGAAAGATTATTGGGGAAAAAGAAATCTAGAGAGGTAAAACCCATGGGTAATTTAAGTACAGTGTTTAAGAAGTAGGGCAGACTCTCAGTCCTTCATTATAAGCTCATTATTGGACATGTGATAGGGTAAGACAGATTATCTAATAAGATCTGGAAAATCTGCTGATATTTTCAGACATCCAGGTGACTACTCAAAATGTAGAGTTCAAAGTAGCGTATGATTATACATACACATAATTGCAGCACTTAGGAAGTGGAAGGGTCTGGAGTTCAAGGCCAGCCTCAGCTACAGCCTCAGTTACATTAGACCCTGACTCAAACTAAGTAAATAAATAAAAATTAAGAAATATGTAATTCTTAACCATCCTTACCCTAAATGTATTTACGAGTGGTGCTTATTTATTTATTATAGTAATGAGTACTAGAAACCACTGACCTAATCAAAACCTCTCCAAACCTTTTTTTTATTGGTTCAAACACTTTTGACTCAATACCTTAAATAAGACAAAAAGTGAAGTGTTTTGTGAAAGCAGCCTTCTTACCTAGGTGTCAGTAAAAGATGATTAAAAAAGAAAACGTAAAGCTTCTCCAATCTAAACTGCTCTCCAGAAAACGTGACATATGGAGAAAAGTCACTCATTAATTGCACATATTTACTGTTGCATTTTTTTATACCTCAGATTTGCTTAAGAACAGATATTTTTCAGTGAAGGTACCTGCTTTTCTTCTTTGCATTTCTTCAGAGTTTTCATCAGTTTTGCATGCTCCTCCTCTCTCCTTTCCATCATGATTTTCATCTGCTTAATGCCAATCAAAGCTTTCTTCACCTCTCCTCCTATATCTGTCTTTCCCACCTCTAGAAGACCTAGAAGACATGTTTGGGGTTTCTTTTAACTTGATCATATTAGAAAACAGTAACTTTAACAGCTTTTGGTATCCTCTAAATAGCAGCGTGATTGCTCTTGTACAGCCTTTCAGTCCAAAGCATTCCATGATCAATAAGCTGTCAACTGCCACTCTGATCTGCCTTCCGTTTTTCACCTGGTAGCTCCTGAACAAATCTGAGCTTATTTGATCTCAGTCTTGTCATTTTCCACAAGCCCTGTTTTCCTTTATCCACTTGTTTCCTATCCCTGCAGACTCGGGTATGTTTGTATTAGAGAAAAATCTGAATTTTATTTATAGTTTATATGAGACACAGCAGAGGACTTCAAACATAGTGAACAATTTCCCTTTTCCAGTTTTAATTACCTTCCAAAAAGCCATCAGACTAAGAATGTATGTCATATAACACATATATAGTAACTTAATAGAAGTCTCTTGTGCCATTAACTCTTCCTTTGTGGTTATAAATTGACTGTCATTTTGTCTTCTCATTAGCCAACATGGAATCCTGATGATGCTATTCTTACCTCTGAATTTAATTACAGACTCCAAATTAACTCCATTTTAGCTAATTTATTTTACTAAATGGCAAATGCCCCAAATCTTTATCACCAGACAAAGGTCAGAAGGTAATGAGCACAAAACAACCAGATTTGCTGTCATGACAACCCACACCTTGGCTAATATAATAATAATTACAGAGATTACTCTGCTGGTTTAGAATTTTTATATGCTAGGAAAGTATTTTGCTGTTCATTAAAAAAATGTGAATAGGACCTCAAACATCTGAATAATACAACAGAAAATGTAGGCAAAAAGTTGTCAAGATTTATCTGCCTCATTGCAAACATATTGATATGTGAATGCTGGCTCATGTAGACTTATTGTAATTTTCTATATTTTATATCCAGATTTTTGGACATCATGAGGACTTTAAGTGTTTGGAGAACATGTAATGAAGACAGGGTTAGGGTTAGGGTTGGTTTATATGGTTACTTTATAGGATTATAAGTCCCTATAAACGTCAGCTGGACTGGTAAACATGCAAACAGGGTAGATGAACCAAGCATACTATTCTGGTTTCCATCTGTAGCAGCTGTGTCCTTCCAAGTAGGTGCACTGTGACAGTATTTCGACCATAACAGATACACAGAAAGCACCAAGAGTGGTGGCTTCATGGTCCAATGTTCCTATGAAAGGAAAATCAACCTGCATTAATGCCTTGAAGCATAGCAACTGAAAACACATGGTTCTACAGAGCACTTTTATTTCAGTTTCTCTTTATTACTTTAGAAAATGCATAATAAAATGTCTGACCTATAAAGAAGCATAAACACATGATCCCTATGTAGTCTATTTTGTTTATCTTCTTCTTTACAGTAAACTGTGCACTACCGTGCCCAGCTTGATGAGCATAGACACTGGTGCAATATAGTTTAAAGTTCCATGTCCACTTGGGCCACATAGCAAGACCCTGTCTCAGTAAGCACAACAATGGTAATATCACCTGCTGAAGTACTTGAAAGCCAAGCCAATGAATAATAGTGATCATAGAGCTATAGGGTCCAAACTTAATTGGATTTTCTTATCAACATTAAGTGTGTCTACAGGCCGACTTAAAATATAACAGGATACATTCTGTGTCCAAAAATCTCAGCATTCCTGCCTCTATCTCTGGTGTGCTGGGATTGTAGGTGTGCAATAGTCGCTTCTTACAAAACCTATCATATATGTTCTGCAGTTATATTTTTCTGAGATAATGACCTGTCTTTTATATCTAATTTGATGTATATTAGTTATAAATATCCCAAACACATACTTTACATTTTATCAAGACAAGATATATCAAAACAACTGCATTTTAAAATAATTTTTTAACACAGGCTTCCTCTGTGTACTCCTTGACCATCCTGGAACTCCCTCTGTAGGCCAGGCTGCCCTCAAACCCACAGAGATCCACCTGCCTCTGCCTCCTGAGTGATGGGATTAAAGGCGTGCGCCACCACTGCCCAGCCACAACTGTGTATTTTAATGGAATTAAATATGTAAAATATTGCACATTACTTTAATTTCCCACAAAAGGGATGTTTTTCTACTTTATGCATATCTGTTATATTAAAGCTACACTAACCAACATTTGAAATATCTTTTCCACACACAAATAAAACCGGCTATATTAGTAATAATATTGTGACCACCTCTTACATGACGTTTTCTTTCTGTTCATGCCCCACTTAACAAATAAAACTTGGAGTACTGGATATTTACCATTGATATTTCAGCTCTTCCCAGAGAGGTTGCCGTTAACTTCAGGAATGTCTTTCACTTTCCTCTGATGTGACTTTCATCTGTGTCAGATTTAGCCTTGTTCTGTTCATTTGATGACACAGTTCTTAATCCCATTAAACAGGTATTTTGGGATTAAGACTGTTTAAGATTTGGTAGTGCTTAGAATGAACCACTAGAAGGCAGCCTAGGCACATCACCAGCAACAATGACCTTATCTACATTACACAAATGTGGGTGGGTTTGTGTTTTTGTTGTTGTTGTGTTTCTTTGTGGTTTTGTTTGTTTTGTTTTTGAGACAGTCTCACTAGGCAGCCTTGGCTGTCCTGGAACTCTCAATGTATACCATGTTGGCCTCAGATTTACAGAGATTGACCAGCCTCTGCTTCTATAGAGTGGGATTGAATACATTTGCTGTGACAGCACACAATAAATATGGTTGTATTGTTTGATACTTTTTTGAGCCAGATTTTCCTTGAACTCAAGTGTAGGCAAAGATGACCTTGAATTATGATTCCTTCAATCCCCAGCTTCCATCTCCAAAGTGCAGGGCTTACAGGCCTGAGACACTGTGTGGCCTGATTGTTTACTTTGCTATTTTGACTATAAGAAGTGATATAAACCCTCAAGACTAATGAAAAATATTTGTTTTAGTTTTTAAAGTGTTATGTATTTCATTAGTTACATAACTAATGCTATAGATGCATATACACATCTAGACACACATATATAGGGTATACACATTTGTGTGTGAATGTGGAGGTTAGAAGGAAGGCCAGTGTTTTTTCTCAAGTATGCTTCACTTTATTTTTGAGTCATTGTCTCATTGAATCTGGAGGTTCCTGTTTCAGATAGATGAGCTGGCCAACAAGCCTTAACAACCCTCCTGTCTCCCTGCCTTTTCCTAGCTGGGATTATAGCTATGCCTTACTTTTTACTAGGGTGCTGGAGATCCTAACTGAAAACAAGCGCTTTACCAACTGATTCATAGCCCAGCTACTGGTATTGTTTTGAGATAGAATTTCACACAGGAGCCCATGCTGACCTTGAACTCCCAGCTTCAGCTTCCTGATTGCTGGCATTATTGGGGTATACTACCACATCCATTTTTAACACAATATTGCATATTTCAGACACTACATTTGATAATTGTCTGAAATTAAATGCTCTTGATAATTCACCTGAAAACAGCTTAGACAGCTGACAATAGTCAGTTCTAGATTCTCCAACTATGACCTCTGGCAGGATCATTGTGGGTCCCTTTGTAAGCTTGAGAAGCCAGTCCATCCATACTTAATATGTGCTCAGGACATTTCTACAATGAGAGAACCTGACAATTATGAACTGGGTGCCTTTAGAAGATTTTGTAGGACCGTGAATGTAGTTCAGTGAGTAGTGGGCTTGCTAGCAGGGCAAAAAAAAAAAAAAAAAAAGCTTTTGATTTCATCTCAGAACTGTATTGGTAAAAAATGATAATAAATTTTAAAATAGTTTGAGGTTTCCATGGAAGTTTTGTTCTTACGGTTAAATTGTACTTTATGTGAATCATTAATTTTATAATTTTGACATGGTTATGCTTCAGGTTTAATCATAAAATTTTCTCAATAGTTTGTCAGTAATTAAGGAGATCTTGAAGCAGTGCAATCTCATTTAAAACAGAATAACAAGAGTGGGTTTGGAGATGGCTCAGTGGTGAAAACACTTCTTGTTCTTACACAGGCTCTGGTTTCAGTCCAGGACCCATATTGCTGCTCACCACCATCTGAAATTCCAATACCAGGCAATCCGATGACTCTTCTGAGTTACACAGGTACTGTAACCAATGTTAGAGGGTTAGAGGGTTTAAGTCTGGTTAAGAGTTCTTGAATGGATAGAGAGTTGAGACTTGGTTAAGGGGGTTAGAGTTTAGGGTTGCAATTGGGTTCAGGTGTCAGGATCACATTTAGGGTTGTAGGGTTGGGGTTAGGTTGGGGTTACAGGGTTAGGGTTCAGAGTTCGGGTTCGGGTTTGGTTCCGGTTGGGGTTGGGGTTGGGTTGAGGTTGGGATTAGGGGTTAAGGGTTAGGGGTTAAGGGTTAAGGGTTACGGGATAGGGGGTTAGGGTTAGAGGGTTAGGGTTAGAGGTTAGGGTTAGAGGGTCAGGGTCAGGGTCAGGGTCAGGGTCAAGGATGGGTTAGGGGGTCAGGGTCAGGGTCAAGGATGGGTTAGGGTCAGGGGTCAGGGGTCAGGGTTTCAGGGTTAGGGTTAGGGTTAGGGGTTAGGGTTAGGGTTAGGGTTTAGGGGTTAGGGTTAGGGTTAGGGTTAGGGTTAGGGTTAGGGTAAGGGTTAGGGTTAGGGGTAGGGGGAGGGGTAGGGGTTGGGGTAGGGTTAGGGTTTAGGGTTTAGGGTTTAGGGTTTAGGGTTAGGGTTAGGGTTAGGGTTAGGGTTCAGGGTTCAGGGTTCAGGGTTAGG